AAAAAGTTATCAAGCTCTTAAAAAATCACCCGTTATAAAGTCGCATATTTTTGGCGTTAAACTATAGTATATTCAATATTATTCGTTCAGTTATTTTGCTAAGTGATCTTACATATTAAAAGGTAAGAAGATAGGGTATTATTAAGCCAATTTTATCTATTTTTGAAATTAATGCATGTTATCATAAAGTTAGTTAGTTGTATAAAGCCTACGCTTACTCAATGTAATGAAAATAATTTACATATTGATCTATGTATATATGTAGAATAAGTGAGACGGAAATTCGAAAATCGTCTTATTAAGTATATGTTGGCTAAGGGAAATATTCGTCTAATTGAACCCATTTTTGGCATACAGATATACTATTATCAGGAAAATACTATTCCTAATTTCAAAAATATACATATATCACTGATTGACCGATATTTTTGGAAAAAAGTCAACCATACGCATTGGGGTCTACATGTTTGATGTCTGGACTGAAATTTTGTAGTCCGATTTCGACAATTTGCGACCGCAAGATGAAGTAGCTATTTGTACAAGGTTTTATCCATATAGTTCTTGATTTGTATACTAGAAAGTGAAACCATCTCCCATTTTCATACTCTAATGTAGGAACGGTTGAAAATTGTAAATGTGAGTGGTGCCACGCCAATCGCCAATTTTTATAACTGCTCCTATGAAGCCCTCTTGGGCAATCCATGCCATGATGCTAAATTTAATGTCTCTGGCGCATTTAGTTAATGATTTATTGTCCACTTTTTAAAAATATTCAAACCACATATCACCACCTGAAATGCAAAGTAACGTAACAACATTTTCGGAAATTTACAGTGGCATGAATGAAACAAATGAAGTAAAATGGAACATGAGTGGAAAAAAATGTAATAGTGAATCATAATCAATAAGACACTCAATTTCGAATTTGGTGATGAAACGTTATTTTGCATTTTAGGTGACAATATACTCCTCGTTATTGTGATTCATTATACCAAACTACAGTATTACGCCCATCTTTGAACTCGTCCTCCTTACAAGGAACCAGTGTATCAAGTTTCGTCAAGATATCTCAATTTTTACTCGTGTTATCGCTGGCACAGACAGGCGGACAGACAATCACTCGAAATTCAACTCGTTTTGTCATCATTTATATCTGTATAAACCTATTCTATGTAATTTGGTTTTGGGTGTTATAAACAACCATTAGGTGAACAAAACTATTATACTCTCAAGCAACATGCTGCAAGAGTTTAAAATTATCAGAATGGTGAGGAGATTTGAGCAAATCGCACTAGGGAAAAGCGCCGGCGATTTGAATACTTTAAAAAAGTGGCCGTGGTCCCGCCTCTTAAGAAGTTTATGTTAGAAATTTCAATAAATAACTAATCCTATACATATGAGACAGAAAACCCTTTTAGGAGACGGTGAAAAAACAATAGACGTAGCGCCATCTACATTGGATGAAAACTTATATCTGAGTAACTGTTTCACCAAATTGATAAATTTAATACAATACATTAGCCTGACGTTCTTAGATTACGATGTGATAATTAGCGAAATCGGACCACAACCGTACCTATCCATGTATAACATTTTTCAATTGTATTCGACAGCTTTTACGGCCTACAAATCGAAATTCCACGATGTTGGAGAAAAATCATTTTGGGTAAGTAGTCAATAAAAAGGATACCGTTTGATCCCACCTTGGATTAAAGCGCAAAATATTGTTATTTGTTGGCGAAACAAATCAACAAAAATTTTCTTTTTCTTATGCGGAAGGCTAATAATGTAATTGTATACCTATATCATTCTTGTAGACAGTAATTATTCCCGTATTTTCAGTGAAGAGCCTGAGAATAAGGAGTAGAAAACTAAGTTTGTATTACTAAAAAGCCTAAATTTATCAAAACATATGCATATTTTCATTAGAAAAACCCATCGTTCATTGTTAGGTCAAGGGCTTTTCCCCGGTACGTCCCGGAATTTGAAAAAAATATAACCAGGTGTTTACAAAACTTTATAAAMTAAAATTWATTAACATGTTATMAAAGAATATTCTCACCAAATTTCATTAAGATACCTTACCCACTGACCGATATTTTCTGCATAAAGCCTACTATGAGCAGAACCGTAAGAATATTGCACCAAAATTTGTTCAGATTGGTAGAATATTTTCTGATATAAGTTAACACATTAGTCTGCTAATCTGCCCTCTGTAGCGTTCTTAGAACTACTCCACGCTAGCCAGCAAGCAAGGGAATAGTCCGCGTCAGCATTTTCCCATGAACTGGCAAACTCTTCGCTACAACAACATAAGCGCGGTAGTAGCGATTCACCTGTTGTCTAAACAACAACAACAAAAGGTACAGTTTAACAACAGCATCAGGTGCAGTAGCGCCAAAATTGTGGCAAGTGTAGGGAAATCAAGCAGGGCTTCTAAGATCAGTTGTAATTCATTTTAACAACAGCACATAGTACTGAATAAATAGTACATACTATAAAAATTATAATTTGGAGTTTAACACCACATCGTGCTGAATAAAAAATGTATATTTCAAAATTTTAACTTGGTTTTAATAATAAACAAAACTTGAACAGCACATAGTGCTGAACATTCATTTATATGGAATTTCACAAAAGAGTGGGCGGTGTCCCCTCATGTCTTCAATTTTAACATTTAATCGTATTTAAAACTGATGTTTTATGCTTACAGTTAGAAATAATTATTCTTCCGATGTGTGAGAGTTGTCGCACCWTTGGTAACTTCGGGTGGATAAAGGTTTAGTTGTTTGGGAGATATGAAAATTAAACTTAATACCCATTTTTCGAAATTTTTTTAATCACTGATGACCCAGCTGTGATACTCTGTACCAAATTTTTAACTTGAATTGATATATATTTTGAACACTTTATTTTTCAATTAACGGCATTTTGTGGACATGGAAGTGGTTCAGTTTTGTCCACCTGTAGTATCAACCGCATAGTAATTTAATAATACTGTTTTTGGAGGATAGGGTCATGTGTAGAAGTTCACTTGGGAGTGGCCCGAAGCGATTCTTTTACATATGACTCAAGCAGCTCACGACTTCCGGTCTTTGACTAAGTATCCTCTGGGTAGCCTAAGAACATCCGTTTGAAGGCGAGCTAAAGTGAGAGGGCGAAACATCCTCTCCGTAAGGTTGTGCGCTGGGTTTGGGACCCGCCACGTAAAAAATTATACCAATGACAGGGAACAACAAGCCTCGGATGAGTGACCCCCCTTTTAATGACGACCATGGCAAACGAAATAAGGACTACGAATTGAGGGCATGCACCTNTTGGTAACTTCGGGTGGATAAAGGTTTAGTTGTTTGGGAGATATGAAAATTAAACTTAATACCCATTTTTCGAAATTTTTTTAATCACTGATGACCCAGCTGTGATACCCTGTAACAAATTTTTAACTTGAATTGATATATATTTTGAACACTTTATTTTTCAATTAACGGAATTTTGTGGACATGGAAGGGGTTCAGTTTTGTCCACCTGTAGTATCAACCGCGTAGTAATTTAATAATACTGTTTTTGGAGGATAGGGCCATGTGTAGAAGT